TTTTACCTGACATTTTGCATTTGAAAACAAAAAAAAGAAGAAGAGAAAAGTTTGTATTTATTCTGGTGGAGGAGGGAGATGCTTTCTCTCCTTTCTAAACTTTCGTAGCTGGACTTCACCTTGAGTGTATTTCAAAGCTGCCCTTAATGCCATTCCTTCCTTCAGAACTAATTGATTCACTGTGCAAACATTCCCGATGCACAAATACAGTCAAGGGTCGTTGGCGTGTGGTCTGCAAATCAGACACAGGAGCTAATGTCAGAGCTGCTGCTTGATCCACCAGCCTCTGAGATAGATTAAGCATTTTTGTATGACTCACCATGGCTTTTATTGTGAGGAAAAAATATTTTGTTTCTGTTCAAATTACTGTAACATGCAAAACCAGCATCACTATTTCAGAGTTTATAGCATAGCTGATAATAAAAAATTGTCCTGCAAAACAGAAAGTTAACCCCAGTATTCATCCAGGATGTAGAAAGCAAAACAAAAAGCACAAAAAGAATGAATTGGGGAAGCACAATAAAATGCTACTTAGACTTGGAGGAGCAAACACACCAACTTCTGCCAAGCAGAAATGAAGCATTTGCTTTCTCCTGCAAGCATTACCTCAGCCACTTCTGGACAGATAGGCTTTTATCTGCATCTCTGTCTTCATGAGTCACCATATAAATTGTTTGGCTGCCCTGAGTGGGTCCGAAGAAGGAGAAATATAAACAGGTGCCATCAGCACATGGTGGAAACCGTGGTTCTCATCTCCACGGTCACCCTCCCAGAGATGCTGTGGGCACAGGGAGCACCAAGGGTGACTGGCAGAGCCCCGTGGGAAGCGTTGCCACCAGAATCTGTCAGGGCAACAGGGATATAGCTGCCCAGACAGACCCTGCTACTACTTGTGGTGGGACCAGAAGCAGGTAGAGGTCACTGATGTCAAAGAACATGGAGACATCTGGGAATGCTGTAATGGTGCCCTTGTTCTTCAGCCTAGACAAAAGGAGATCAGTAGCCAACACTGCCCTGGGCATCATCTAGGATTAACACTGCATCAAGAGAAACTTAAGTGTTTCAGTTACTGTGTGGAAGAGATTTCCACCCAGTCTCCCCACCAGACACTCCAAAACCAGGCGATTTGATATGGTGTAAGGACTGGAATGATTCTCAGTGATTGTCCCCACCTCAAGGCAGCAGACCCCAATGCTTTCTAATGTCTTCACATCTTTCAAGTGATCTTAATTGTGCAGTGATTGCATTGTTTAAATCAGTTCATTCTAGTCCCGACACATCCCAATTTACATAGCATTTTGTGTTCCCTGCTCTGTCATTAATGTTTAATGCCTTAATTCAGCCATCAGTCCTCACTCAGCAAAACGATTCAACTAAGTACACATTTAAACACATTCTTAAATGCTTTTCTGAAGTGGTCTTCTGCACACCCTGACATGCTTTGCTGAGCTGGGTTTTCATGCACAAAAGAGTTCACTTGTCATAAGCATGTAAGAGAGGAGCCTTCCTTTTCCTCATGTGCATTCATGTTGATGTGTGTGGCTTGTGAAGGATACAGTCTTCTATAATATTGAACCATTATATTCAATGAAAAAGTGGTTCCAATCCTGTTTTGATTTTGCTGCTGCTCCAAATGTTATGACACAACCAGATATACTCTTTCATATTTTCTGAATTCTGTCAAGTTCATTTATTTTAAACTAAATTTGAAAGGTAGCTATGACTCTAAAGATCTCTCTTCACAGTAAACTGGTCAGATCATGTAATGCCTGATCATTTGCCTTATTCAGATCTCAAAGGAAGGAAAGATCAGTAAACCTTTGCACAGCTGTCATTTCATCCCTGGTAGGTCAACTAGGGATAAAAAAAACCCAAAAGCCCCAGCAAAGTGTACTAATTGATTTCTCAAAGCAGGGTATTTACCTTTGTCCACCAGGACTCTCACTCCAACACTGACCAGATTCTTTTAACTTTCCATATTGAAAATTTGATAGTGTGTTGCTCCAGGGCCTTGGTTTGGTGGGTAGTAGGGAGGGATTTGTTTTTTCCTTTTTATTTTTCAACTTCTTTTACACTTTTTCTTTACTTCTTTTCTTTCTACAGGAGAATGAATGAAACAAATATCAGAAAGACCTTTTAAACTCTAGGGGAATACGTTTTACGACAGTAACGTATTTTGATTGCTGCTGGTAGTGGTGGAAGCAATGGTAGATTCACTTGCTTTCATGATTGTTTAATAAATACTTTAGGTTAAGTGCTTAAAAATCTTATAGAGCACTTATTTCAAATATTTTAAGTATTTGAGTGATGTTCCTTTACAAGACAGCTGTCTCCAGCAGTAGCTCCTACATGGTTCCGTTTACCTCTATAGCAAAGAATAACTCACAAGGTATCCAAATCTCTTCTTGAATATAGGGGTGGGGTGTGAGGGAGAGGTGGGAGTAATCTGAAGAGGCAATTTTGTGCTAAAGACACTCATTGCAACATTTGGGAGATGTCTGTTACCTCAAAGTTTGATTTCAATTTGTCCTAGTTATGGCTGGAAGTCAGAGTAAAGGATCTTCTTTAGCATGCCTTTCAAGCATTTCAACCATACTCCTTATTTCAGGTCAAAATTTTGTTCAGTCAAAGTGCATGTTCATTAAAAACTCTCTCATTGTACAGGATGTCCATGACAGCAATAAACAGCTTTACAACTTTCAAATTATGCAAGAAGATGACTTACTACAGCTTGACCTAGTGTACGTCCACCCAGTCATATCTGACTGGATTAAATTGAAGAATCAGATTTCAGGTTTTCAATCAAATTCTACTAGCAAATTGGTATTTAAAATCAGAATCCCCCTTCTCTCCCAACTCACCCCCACAAAAGAAATTATTAGAAAGGTTAAAGAGACATTTTCTGAAAAACTGGAAAAATCCTAATCAAATAATATTAGTGTCAAGATCTGAACAGCACACAGATCCATCTGTCTTATTATTGTGATCTGGAGATTGGGCAAGAGAAGTTCTGTGACCTACTTTATATCTCTCAAGCCATGGACAGTAACTGGGCAGTTTCTCTGTGTAGCATTTGCTTCCTCTCATCAAAACTTTTCCGAGCAGTAGATGTTGTCCAGGGACTTTCTGATCTGTGTGACCCTCCTTGCTTTCAGTCTACCACTACAGAAATAGTCCATTTATCATTTTTCAGTTTCAAGTAAGCTGTAAATGTTTGGGGTTTTTTCCTGCTAAAGCATCATCAGGCCTAGGAAGCTTCACAAACTTTCAGGCACACCTGAATCAGCAGTGAGCCTGCCAGGCATGGGCAAATCTGCAGTCTCATAGAGGCAGCACAGTCCTCAGCATCTAGTGAAAAACTCACCTCAGAAGCTCTGTGAGTATTTAGATGGCAAAACCACACAGGTCTCATGGTTGCTGCAATATGACCGCTGCTGGTTCTCATGACAGCCAGTTTAACGTAACTTGAATAAGGTTTCACTCTGCAGTATTTGCAGGAGTAATTTGATGTGTAAGCTGCATGTCCCACAGAGAAGGTCAGTAAACTAAGGAGACACAAAATCAGACAGCAACCAAGAACTGTACTGAGGGAAGCTTCCACAATAGGTTATTAAGTACATTTATTGATGACAGCTTGTACTGGTTATGATGTGTATACTAACCTGTATTTTGGACAGACACCATTTTTGAGGCTTTGGTTTGAGGCCCTATAAGCAAATAGCGTCTTCCGATGGATTTCTCAAAACAGCATGAGGTTTACAGATTAAAAGCAATATTTATTATACATGACATCTGTGTGCACTGCTCCTCAAAAGGAAGCTGCATTGAGGAACTAGAAAACTAGAAACCTTCCACCATAAATTCCTCTTTCTTGGTCCCCTGTCTCCCCACCTTTAATACTATCCGTCTACCAATGCATTGGCTTTGGTCATCTTGTCGTAAGAAAGCAAGCCAGCCTGTCTCTGTCATACATGGCCTTTCAGCAGCTAATTAACATGAGGAAGCCATGGGAGTTTCTGAGAAGCTGAGCTCTGATGTAACCCAATGCCATCCACTAGGAAGCTTTTAGACGCTCCAGCCATACATAATTTATTTTCGCCAGTCACATGGCAGCAAAGCACATTTTGCATAATGGATACTTGCACTGGAAAAGTGCTTACAGGGTTTCAGCGGAGCAGACCGCCCTTTCATCTATCTACATCAAAGAGAAATTAAACAATTACATGAGTTTACAGCATTCTTGCAGAAAACTCTCAAAATAATGTTTTCAGGGTGTGCAAAACCTATGAAGACAGCACTTATGCTATTAAAATGTACCACCACAAAACTGTTCAAGTATGTCTCTTTTGGGCATCTTTGTACCTCCTGGTTTACGTATAATTTGTTTTCTCACCTGCAGTTCATATAAAATTCATATTTGGCCACAGGAGAAGAGGAGATTGAGGAAAGACCTTATTGTTCTCCACAACTGCCTGACAGGAGGTTGGAGCGGGGTGGGGGTCGGTCTCTTCTCCCAAGTGACAAGCAATAGGATGAGAGAAAATGGCCTTGAGTTGTGCCAAGGGAGGTTTAGATTGGACGTTAGGAAAAAAATTTTTCACTGAAAGGTTTGTGAAGCACTGGAATGGGCTTCCCAGGAAAGTGGTGGAGTCACCATCCCTGGAGGTGTTTAAAAGACGGTTAGACGTGGCACTTAGGGACATTATTTAGTAGTGGAGAGGTTATGGATGGACTCGATTATTTTAGGGGTCTTTTCAAACCAAATTACTACGATTTTACATCTCGGCGCCGGGAGAGGCTGCACCGTGGCTGCCGTTTGCACCGAGACGCGGGGTCGCTCTGCGCCCCGCGCTGCGCGCCCACGCATGAGTGGCCGCAAGATCCGCGCTGGATGCGCCGCCGCCCCGCAATCGGGAAACGG